ATGTGAATGACATGCATCCAAACACAGGGTTGTTTTAGTTCCTTCTAGGGCTTGAAATTTCTGAGTGCCTCAAATGAGCAAAAAAAAATTGTAAGCAAGTGAACATGTTCCTTTAAGGTCTTTCCTCTAACTGTTGCAGCTAAAGTGAAATCATTATTGGACTTTGCTGTACATGCATGTAGTTCTCCATTGTCTATAAGTCTGTGCTTTCAACCACTGCACTAGAAATCAAGGTCTTTGTAATCTCTTGATTCGATCAGGTGAAATGATGCCAGTTTGATAGCATAACATCTTCATTTTCCTCATTTGCAAAATTACTTTATGGTGTAGAGAAGCTACACCATAGCTTTGAGATCATTAACACTGACTTCACTTTGCATACCAAGTGTTGTACTCGTGTCCTTAATACCCTAAAGTTCACACACAGCCAGCCTTTTAAAATAACTGAGCAAGGCCAACAATTATACATCATTACAACAGAACGTGTAGCCTCAGTAGTTACTCACTCCTTGTCAGGAGCATGGTCTGTGGCACTCCCATGGTCTGTGGCTACTCCCATGTAGCCAAACAGATTTGCAGTTGCTAAGGGTTAGGTTTGTATATCACTAACTTCAAACACTGTCCCTCGTACTTAATTTATAATTCTTCAGTCCTGGTTGATAATTAGATGTGTAATCGATTATAAACATGCACTCTCATATTAACATACCATAGACATGGAATTATCTGTAGCACTTATTCTGAAACTGGAAAGGTGATACTTCAGAAAGAGAGAAGCTCAGTGACACTCCAATATCGTCATCAACTGCACCTTGAATCCTTAAGTTCGCCTAGAAAAGAAGTCAGTAATATTGACTCATTAAACATGGTTTCCTGGTACCTTAGCGTACTCATAGATAATTTGTTTAGTTTTTATTTACAAAAGACTGTTGATGGCTAGACTTAAATGTGTACCATGTTTAATCTGATCGGTGATTCCTTGTTATTTTTAATTTTCCCATTCTTCACAGTAAATGTGTATCTGATAATCAGAAAGAGTGAAGACTTAAAAAGAGTTTATTTCTATGCTAATAAATAAACCACAGAAATTTTTATTACTATAAATGTCATTATACATAGTAATTTTTTCATCCAAATTAAAACCTAACACTGCCTTATTGCTGAAAGTGATCCTTGAAAACACCCGAAAGGACAGCAGTTAAAAATATAGACACAATCCCTTAAAAAAATAAAACATTACTCTTTGAAGATGCTTTCAATTTTCAGTGTTCAATTCACTTTGAAAAAAAAAGTTCCACCACATCTTCTATCAGTGCAGTATGAAGTAGAGAAGTAGCCTCCATCTCTGGAGGCACACAAAGACACAGACCAAAGTCCCAAGCCCATGGGAAACTATTGTTCAATGAATTTCAGCAAAGCCCCAGGAATGTGCCTGCTCTGCACATTGCTTGTGTAATTTTCGACATAAATTTGTTGCTAACAGGAACTGAAATGGACCGACGCTTTGCGAAAAGCTGTGTGGGGCTTTCAAAGGTCAGTGGTGGTGTCTTTCAGGCACTGCTGCTGATGTGTCCTCCCTCATCCTTTAGTGTTGTAACAGATGAACACTGTTTGTACAGCCCCCAAGGAATGCTGAGGTAAATTAAGTCCTTAAGCACGTTTGTTACCAACAGTGCTAGCGAACTTCGCAGAAGCTGCTCTGCTGACTGGCTATACTGTCCCCCAGCACTCACCTCCCCAAAACTGTAGCCTGGTAGAGATGCAGGGTTTCACTGGATACTTGATGAAGATGGGATTCTAAGTAGAATGGAGGCCAGTAGAACAACAAAAATTTTAGTAAGTTTTGCCTTCATTGTCTTAAGCATGCCAAGTAGCACATGAAGAAGGGTAACAGGGGGTCCCTTCTGCTCGTTAGTGTATGTCACTGTAGACTGGCAACAGTTGTTGTTTAATCAAAAGATTTAGCAAAAGCCAACATCCTTTACTGATGTCCTCCACCACCACCTGTGTTGCGAATTCAATTGTTCAGCACACAAACGTGACTCACAATTCACTTATCAGAAATTCTGAAGAGGCAAGAATGCAAATATTCTATATATGTCAGATAGAAATGCTGGATTAAATACGCTTTGCCAAGCAGCAGTTTGAAAAGTACTTTTCTGTGTGAGTCTCGAGTGGAGCAGAACAAAGTCAATTACTGACTGTAATTAGGAAGTGGATGCATTTAAACTGTAGAGAGCAGCAGCAGTCTTCTCCACACAGCTGCCTAGGAATGCCAAAGATTCCTGGGAAGGCAGAGAGGAAGGTGTGTGAGCAGGGCGCCTCTGCTAGGGAGATTCAGAGCAGTTGCCTCCATAATCTCCTTATTCTAGCACACTTACTCCAGAGTGAAGTTATAAGTCACTGATTACGTGTGATACATGCAGTAACATATTTAGACAAAGAAACTTTCAAAATACAGCTTATGTTTGGCTCTGTGAGCAGGAAAAAAGGCTTCTGAACTGTGTGTCTTTCATCAAAACAGCAAAAGCAGTGCTGAAAACTATTTACCACAGTTTGAATTTACGAGGACAAAAGCTAAACTTTGCTGGCTCTTTTGTAAACCTTCAGAATACAGTAAATCTAATTATATTTTTTTCTTCCTTTTAAATGTTGTTCCTCTTATAATTTTAATAATGTTTTGTTTACACTGGTATAAAGTATTATATTATGCTGTACTTTGTGCTTGAGAAATTAATTCTTCTTTATGTATAATAACAAATTGTGATATGTATAAAATATTCATAATCAAAATATTTAAATTTAAAACTAAGGTAAAAATTGAGGACACTATGAGTTTTCTTGTGTTAGTTATAAGTGACCTTATGTTTTTAGATTTTAACTTCTGAGGGAGTCCTTTAGAAAGTAAATATTTGGGATTTTATGTAAGTAAGGAACATTGCAATGGAATTCAGATAATTAGAAAAATATTAGCCTGGCTTTCTTTTCATGGACACATGGCTATTTTAGCCATCCCATACTTTACATGCCATTTTAGTTCAAAACAGGGAAAGAGAAAGAATAATTGGCTGCAGTCATCTGTCAGATTTTAGGGTGGGCAAATAATCCTATCACTCTCTAGTTTTTCCTTTCTTAAAATTTGGCTACTTCAGTCTTTAGTGAAGAAGGGACCAGAATTAAAACTGGAACTCATGTCACAGTGTTTGTTTGATAGTCCTGAGTAGTATCATATCTCTCTAAAGGTTTCTAAAAAATAAATAGGAAATATATATATATATATATGTAAATATATGTGTGCAAAGATTTCTCAAAATCCCAAGATCAAAATCAGAAATTTGTGGACAAAATATTCGTTTATGTGAGTTCACATAGCATTGATAGTAAATCTAGAGGATACAGACTACACACTGTGTAAAATATCTGTAACATCCTAAATCATATTCCTCTTACATATACTTTAAGTTACAATATTGACATGAGTCAGTATAACTGTAGAAATTTTGCTGACTAAAGTTCTGAGTATATCTCATGATGAGGGTACTTAGATATATGATAGATAAGGTGATAAATATTAATTATACTACTAAGCATTTGTTATCATGATGGATGCTATAGTGTCAACATCTTTAGACCAAATAACCAACACATGAGAGTGTACCATATTAAATATTCAAACAATACAATATACTTATCTATATTAATTGAAATAATACCTTGTTTATACCTTGAAAATATTTCCAATATTGTTGTTATTAAATGTTGCCATAAAAATTACTGAACCTGCAGAATAAGCCATTTGGGATTAACATTGTCACATTACTGATAGAATTGTAAAGCTAGCCTGAAGTGTGATTTGTGATTTTTCTTAACCTGCACTTCATGTACCATCCACCTATTAGGGCACAGAAGGCTTCAAAGAGGTGACTGGCTTCTGATTGAGTTTCTGGAAATGCCAGTCCTCTAAAGTTCTGTACCCTGGCTTGATGTGTGACAGTTGTTGAGAAATGTCTATCTTCTTGTTGGAAAAAAAAAGAAAGAAGGAAAGAAAGGAAGGAAGGAAGGAAGGAAGGAAGGAAGGAAGGAAGGAAGGAAGGAAGAAAAGATAAAAAATACAAAGGGAAAATCTTCCCAGTTCAGATTGATGGCCTCATGCAAAAAGCATGTCCACGCCCACTCTAATCAAATTTCTCCCTAAGGAGCTCTTTATGTGTGAAATCAAGAGCATTGCTTGCTGTGTTCCGATAGGGTCATATTCTCTCTCATTTCTGAAGGGAAAGATCCACTTGATGAAAAATGGATAACTATGCTAAGCAGGCCAAAAACGTAACAGCACAGAGAGTCTGGAAACTGATGTTGATTTGATGCTTTCTAGCAAAGGTTCAAATATGCAAATGAACTTTTATTCTAATATACTCCCTTTGTGAGGAAATTGGCTTTATGACTTTCCTATAGGGCTTTACTGTAGGAAGGCAGAAACAGCCAAATGTTATTCATCTGAATGACCTTTTGCAAAAGTATGCATTAGTCTCTTTGGTAAAAATCTGTTTCAGAGCCCTCCATAAAAGGAAATCGAATATAGAGATACTATTAGATTTGAAGAAGACCAACAGAGAAGAGCCAACAGCACAGAAGGAATTCTGACACACCCCAAGTGCATTTTCTGTTGGCTTTTAACTAATGTGTGCACTGCCTGCGTCCCTCAACTTCCTGTCTACTGCTTCCTCAAGTTGCAGTAACTCAGCTTCAGCCCTGCTCTGAGTTCATCTTTCCATTATTAAAACAATCATGTCTTTGTTATGACATGAAAAGCAAAACAAAACAAAACAGTTTACAGAGAGAAGTTCAAAATGACAGCAGTCTCCTTCATTCCCAGCAAGACAATTACTGGAATACGAGGGAATACGTCCATGTGATAAACTTGTTCTTGAAAACGATTTTTTTTTTCAATGTAAGAAATGTATCTAACATGGTGCTTTTACCTGTCAATTTTTTCCTCTCAGATCACCACAGTATCAGGAAATGAGTTCCTTCTGCAGTCAGATATTGACTTCATCATATTGGATTGGTTCAATGCTATCAAAAATGCCATTGACAGATTGGTATGTATTTGTTTGGGCTGTTACATTTATTAATTAAAAATGTAGTCATTTAAATCTTCCTGTTCAGGCATACAACATTCACACATTTAAATGGATCCTATAGCTGGGAGATACTAGCTATTTTAAGCTTCATAGAGAACACTAGGAACCTTTATTTCAGACAAGATTTGTGAGGTAAATGTCATTTCATCTCTCTCTTTCAAAAATTTTATGTTCTCATCCTGGAATCGCATGCACATTCATTTACTGGAGATTGTAACAAGCACACAAGTATTTGGAAACTACTGCATTTTTATATTTTCTGTTTAGGTAGTCACTAATATACATGCTGGAAAGCAAATATCTATGTAATATAAATATTATGCGTTATGTATAAATATAATAAATATGTATTATGAACATGTTATAATACCACAAATAAAAATTATTTATACTTACTTTTATAATTTTTCAGATAATCTAGAATGTTCTCATGAAAATTAGATACCTAGAACTTCAGTAAATTAGCTTAAATTATACATCCAGAGTATGTGTTTTAAAGGCTCAAATTATTTAAAACTGTTCCTTATTGACTTAATTTTATCTCACTAATATATATATAATTGCATGAAAAATTGCTGTAACTAGGATATGTTTAAAATATTTCATTATATCCTTTTAGGGTCAAACTACACAAATTAAAATTGTCTTTCCATACCATGAGCAGAACCCCAATATATAGGCCACAAACACAAGGATTATATTACCTTTAAATATAGCATCTAGGGCCAGAAAACCTGAATTTGAACATAGTTCGTATTTACTAGCTGCATGGTTTGAGAAAGGTGGGTTTTGTTTTGTTATTTGTTTATTGGTCTGTTGGTTTTCCTTTCTCTCTGTTTCCTCAGTACTAATAATGTTGCCAATGTATGGGCCCTGCAGAATACCTGAAAGGATTAACTGAGTTGATATATGTATGGTTCTTTAAGTAATTCTTATCATTTAGTAAATGCTATTTGGATAAATGAATCACAGCATAAAGGTCATATCACAAAAAAATTAACTTAAGAAAATGTCCAGTCAAATTTAGCATCAAGATAAGACGCAAAACTGTTTGGCGAATCTTTTCTTCCTAGGAAAAGTACTCAAGACACTGTTTATTACTTCTAGCCAAAGAATCCAAGTTGCCGGTCCCTGGAGTTGTTCAATTTCCAGAGATCCTCAAGTTCTGAACTGCTGAGTCATGGCCATGCCGACAGAAAAGAACAGAAACCAGAGCATAGGAAGTCTTTCAGTGAGTGTTTTCTTTGATTTGCTCATTTTACCTCTGTCTAAATGCAGAGCTTATGAAATATAAATGTATTAAAATGAGATCTAAGCCAAAGCCAGGCTACTTTGGAAGATCTGTAGCCATTTCCTACCTAGGGATTCATGCGCTGGAGGGCAGTCTGGGCACTCTGCTCACATCATTGTTGGTAATGTCTTTTGAGAAAATAATTGTTCGAAGGTCATGGTCTCTGCTTACTGCAAACCTCTGAATCTCTGAGTAATAGCCATGGAGTTCAGATTGGTGATTGATTTTAAGAATGGGAAATGTCAAGCATCTGGCACGCTGGCCATTTGATTTTCATACATTAAAAGACATGAGTGACCATCACAATTGACCCAACTAAACCAACAGCCTTTGCAACTGTCCCTACTTCCAGAACACTAGGAAGATTTAGAAATACACCTTCCAGAGTTGACAGGAAGTGTGAGGTTTGAATGTGGGTGTTATCGAAGTTACAATGAGTTCTGCTTCCAAAACAACTGAGTTACGAACAACTTACAGCACTTACATGATGGTCTTCAAAACTTTTTTTTTTAAATTCAGCCTGCTTCTTTCTCAACAAATAGGAATTATTAAAACATGTCACATGTATTTCACATTCTCAAACTGTGTCGTAGACTTCTGAAAGGACATACCGATAGATTTCATATCAGGAGAACCAATTTCTCAGTCTTAAAATTTATAGCATCTTCTCTGAGCCTTCTATCTAGCTATTTGTAGCCATTTTTCTGTCTAAATATTAATGTAGTTTACATCCCAGCTTTTAAAACTTAAGAACAAGGCGGTGAGTTAAAGAAACATAATTACAAGTAGTGTTAATAAAGATGTATGATAAATTATTTTATTCGTTTTTAACATATATGTGTCACTAAAAAGATCTGTATGTATATGTATGGCAACATGCCTTTCAAAACTGAATTATTAGTGGCTATTGTGAAGGGTGTTGTTTCCCTAATTTCTTTCTCGGCCTTTTTGTCTTTGGTATACAAGAGGGCTTCTGATTTTTTTGAGTTGATTTTGTATCCTGCCACTTTGCTGAAGGTGTTTATCAGCTGAAGAAGTTCTCTGGTTGAATCTTTGGGTTCGCTCATGTATACTATCATATCATCTGCAAATAGTGACACTTTGACCTCTTCCTTTCCGATTTGTATCCCCTTGATCTCCTTTAGTTGTCTTATTGCTCTGGCTAGGACTTCAAGTACAATGTTAAAGAGATATGGAGAGAGTGGGCAGCCTTGTCTTGTCCCTGATTTCAGTGGGATTGCTTTAAGTTTCTCTCCATTGAGTTTGATGTTGGCTATAGGCTTGCTGTATATTGCCTTTACTATCTTTAGGTATGTGCCTTGTATCCCTGATCTCTCCAAGACTTTAAACATAAATGGGTGTTGGACTTTGTCAAATGCTTTTTCAGCATCTAAGGAGATGATCATGTGGTTTTTCTCCTTCATTTTGTTTATGTGGTGGATTACATTGATGGATTTCCGTATGTTGAACCACCCTTGCATTCCTGGGATGAAGCCTACTTGGTCATGGTGGATGATATCTTTGATGTGTTCTTGGATTCGGTTTGCAAGTATTTTATTGAGTATTTTTGCATCAATGTTCATAAGAGAGATAGGTCTGAAGTTCTCTTTTTTTTGTTGGATCTTTGTGTGGTTTAGGTATCAAAGTGACTGTGGCTTCATAGAATGAGTTTGGTAGTGTTCCTTCTGTTTCTATTTTATGGAATAGTTTGAGGAGAATTGGTGTTAGTACTTCTTTGAAGGTCTTGTACATAAGTACCTTGGTGTGACTCTAACCAAGCAAGTGAAAGACCTGTTTGAGAAAAACTTCAAGTCTTTGAAGAAAGAAATTGAAGAAGATCTCAGAAGATGGAAAGATCTCCCGTGCTCATGGATTGGTAGGATTAACATTGTGAAAATGGCCATCCTGCCAAAAGCAATTTACAGATTCAATGCAATTCCCATCAAAATACCAACTCAATTCTTTACAGACCTTGAAAAAAAGATTCTCAGCTTCATATGGAGAAACAAAAAACCCAGAATCTCCAAAACAATCCTGTACAACAACAGATCATCTGGAGGTATCTCCATTCCCGATCTCAAGCTGTACTACAGGGCAACAGTAATAAAAACTGCATGGTATTGGCATAGAAACAGAAAGGAGGATCAATGGAATCGCATAGAAGACCCAGAAATAAACCCACACACCTATGAATACTCAATATTTGACAAAGAAGCCAAATCCATTCAATGGAAAAAAGACAGCATCTTCAACAAATGGTGCTGGACCAACTGGATGTCTACATGCAGAAAAATGAAAATAGACCCATATTTATCACCCTGCACAAAACTAAAGTCCAAGTGGATCAAGGACCTCAACATAAAACCAGATACTCTAAATCAGCTGGAAAAAAAAGTGGGAAACAGCCTAGAACTCATTGGCACAGGAGACAACTTCCTGAACAGAACACCAACAGCACAGGCTCTAAGAGCAACAATCAATAAATGGGACCTCATGAAACTGAAAAGCTTCTGTAAAGCAAAAGACACTGTCATCAAAACAAATAGACAGCCTACAGATTGGGAAAGAATCTTCACCAACCCTTTATCTGACAGAGGGCTAATATCAAGTATATATAAAGAACTAAAGAAGCAGAAAAGCAACAAACCAAGTAATCCACTTAAAAAATGGGGAACAGAGCTAAACAGAGAATTCTCGAAAGAGGAACATCGAATGGCAGAGAAACACTTAAAGAAATGCTCAACCTCATTAGCCATTAGGGAAATGCAAATCAAAACGACCCTGAGATTTCATCTTACACCCATCAGAATGGCCAAGATGAAAAACTCAAGTGATAGCACATGCTGGAGAGGTTGTGGAGAAAAGGGAACCCTCCTCCATTGCTGGTGGGAATGTAAACTGGTTCAACCACTCTGGAAGTCAATCTGGCGCTTTCTCAGACAACTAGGAGTAGTGCTACCTCAAGACCCAGCTATACCACTCCTAGGTATATACCCAAAATTTGCTCAAGTACACAACAAGGACATTTGTTCAACCATGTTCGTAGCAGCTTTATTTGTAATAGCCAGAACTTGGAAACAACCCAGATGTCCATCAACGGAGGAATGGATACAGAAATTGTGGTATTTTTACACAATGGAATACTACTCAGCAATCAAAAAGGAGGAAATCATGAAATTTGCAGGCAAGTGGTGGGATCTAGAAAAGATCATTCTGAGTGAAGTATCCCAGAAGGAGAAAGACAAACTTGGTATATACTCGCTTATATAGACCTACAAGACATGATAAACATAATGAAATCTACACACCTAAAGAAGATAATCAAGAAAGTGGACACAGGCGAAGGTGATTAATCCTCATTTAGAAAGACAAATGGGATGTGCCTTGAACTTATGACAGGAGTCTACCACAAAAGGCATCTGAAAGACTCTACCTAGCAGTGTTTCAAAGCAGACACTAAGACTCATAACCAAACCCTCAGCAGAGTGCAGGGAATCATATGAAAGAAGGGAAGTTAGTATGATATGGAAAGGATAGGAGCTCTACAAGGCCCAAATATATCTGGGCACAGGGTCTTTTCTGAGACTGAAACTCAACCAAGGACCATCTATGGATATAACCTAGAACTTCTGCTCGGATGTGGCCTGTGGTAGCTCAGTAACCAAGTAGTTTTCCAAAGTAAGGGGGACACGGACTATTTCTAACAGGATCTCAAGGGCAGGCTGTTTGACACCTCCCCCCAGGGGAGGAGCAGTCTGTTAGGCCACAGAGGAGGACTTTGCAGCCAGCCCTGAAGATACCTGATAAAACAGGGACAGATGAAAGGGGAGGAGGTCCTCCCCTATCAGGGGACTTGGAAAGGGGCAGGGAGGAGACCAGGGAGGGAGTGTGGGGTTGGGGAGGGAATGAGGGAGCGGGATACAGCTGGGACACAGAGTTAACAAAATGTAACTAAAAAGAAAAAAAAAAAAAAACTGAATTATTAGCAACCACACTTCTGGAGGTTACTGGAAAAGTCCAGTTGAGACCCTTTTGAAAAGAAAGAATTGTTGGAAGGCCTATCTCATAGTTTTCTACAACTGCAAGAGGCTGATTCAGCCCAATATTTTTGTGATGCTTCAGAAGGTTGTCATCAAAGTTAATCAAAGTCTACAAACTACACAGGGTCTTGGTCAAGAGTCAGCAATGTTTCCCACTTCTTTCCTAAGATTCCCTGCACTCTGCCCAAAGGTTGCCCATAAGTCTCAGCAACTACATTGATAGTCTGCAGGGCAGAGCTTTTCAGAGGGCCTCTGTGTCAGGCTCCTGACTTGTTCTCTCTTTTCTCCTTCTTCTGATGTCCAGCCTCTTTGCCTTCCTGGATAGGAATTGAACATTTTAGCAAGAGTTCTCCCTCTTAATTACTTTCTTTAGGTGTACAGATTTTAGTAGGTTTATCCTATATTGTATGTCTATATGAGTGAGTATATACCATGTGCATCTTTCTGCTTCTGGGATAGCTCACTCAGGATGATCTTTTCCAGATCCCACCATTTACCTGCAAATTTCATGATTTCCTTGTTTTTTATTGCCGAGTAATATTCCATTGTGTAGATATACCACAATTAGGAAAGAAGTGGGAAACAGTAAGATCTGGAGAGGACAGGAACTCTACAAGGAGAGCAACAGAACCAAAAAAATTGAGTACAGGGGTCTTTCCTGAGACTGCTTTTCCAACCAAGGAGTATGCATGGAGATAACCTAAGATCCCTGCGCAAATGTAGCCCATGGCAGTTCAGTGTCCAAGGGGGTTCCATAGTATTGGAATCAGGGACTGCCTCTGACATGAACTGATTGGCCTGCTCTTTGATCACCTCCCCCTGAGGGGGGAGCAGCCTTACCAGGCCACAGAAGATGACAATGAAGCCACTCCTGATGAGATCTGATAGACTAGGATCTGA